TTACTTTCCTGATATTTAGTCATTTATAGAGCTGAAATAAAATGTCAATAATATCATTGATATATATTTTCCATTCTTTTTTTCCAAATTGAGTATCCACTAATATTATTTTCTCTTGGTGACTAAAGGAAGGCAGATAATTTCTCTAAACTATAAAAGCTATGTATTAATTTGACAGATTATCTTGTATCTCACAATTATACTTTAGTTAATTTTTTTTAATATAACTAAGTTGGTACAAATTTAGAAAAAATTTAGTTAATATTAATAACTTGTCGTCCAACCCATGCATTGCACGGTGTATAAATAAACTCTTATTGAAATTAATAATATTTTATTATTAGATTACCTATATTAAGATAATTACTAAAAATTAAATTTAAATAATGATTAAAAGTATAAGAATCTTAAATTTGAATTTAACATATGGAATTATTTTTTTGTTTTTAATTTGTGGATTCAATATTAACCATTATTTTATAAAAGAATCGGATGTACTAAAGGCCAACTTGTTTTTTATTGTTGCTGCAAAAAATTTTTCAATTTGATATAAACATAATACCAAACTCATAGAATTTTAACATAATTTATATTAAAAGACTGAAAGCATGTCAAAATAGAAACTTGAACTAACTTATGTATAAAAATGTATTTCTCTACCAAAAAATACTTCTTCAAGCATAACAAAAACCTTAAAAAAAAAAGTAAAAAAAAAAAAAAAAATCTCTTATGGATAATCTAAGAACAATATATTTATCTTTCGTAATGGTTTTTGATATCGGAAGGTGAAAACTATAAAAAAAAATTTCGCTTACGATATTGGCATGCATTAATAATGTAAATTAGAAATAATTTAAGTTTCCAAAATGACTTGGGTAAATCTTAAATTTGCCAAAAAAAAAAAAAATTAATTCAAGATTATTAATATTGAGGGCTGGAGCGTGCTACCCTTGGTCAAAATTTGCTTAGCGACCTCCCTTTTTATTCCACGCAGACTAGTATTATTCTGGCTGCTAGATTGCCAATGAGATGAAAAGATAAGTCGAGACTTCTTTGGGCAAGTAGGAATAATGAAACAGCGTCCATATGGTTAATGGGACACCATACAATTGCCGAGGTTGAATGAGGGCTAGGAATCTAGAATGATCTAGACTTATGGATAAGCATTCTTCGGTAAGTTTGGATTGGAGACTTCTTTCATAATATAGATTTCGTTCAATGGAGGGTCGAGTTATTTATTAGCAAGTATATACAGGGTTTTGCTCATGGACTGTTTTTGGTCCTAAAGCGAAGTCGGTGCCCATATTTGCAAAGCTATCTGTGAGAGACAAAAGTTTTAAAGCTGGGTTCAGTTCTTGATGTTCGTTAATTGGAAGAAGCATAAGATTCTGGTGAGATAGATGGTTAAACGAGAGGTGTTGTTGGATTGTTGCTACTGTCTCCTATTCCAGAATCAAGAGTGTGACTGTTTTGTTCCCAGTCGATTACTGACTGAATGAGGGCGTGATTTGAACATTACTACTCTTCTAGTTTGGGCTCTAGCAGGTGCGGGATGTATCTGGGTGCCTTTTTCCCAAGTTGATGATGAAAGGGAATGGGATTGTGTTAGGGTCATTCTCCTGAGGGGTTTATTCCCTATCGTCTGCGTATTTGTGTTATCAAACGTGAATGTTGCTTTTAGCTCCCTAAGTTTGGATCGAAGTTTTGGAATGTTCCAGTTTTGCAACGAATCCGGATGTCCTTTGGCAGGTGTTGTATCATGGCGATTATGTGTAATTTGGAGAGATTTAATATGAAATTAATGTTTAGATTATTCTGTGTCGTGAATGTTCGCAACGGTTGAGACTGCTTCTTCACATTTTGTTGGAGACTGCAGAGTAGCTAGACAGACTTGGGGAAATCCGCTTGATGTATCCAGATCTTCTACTGTTTTATTTGAATCTAGGATTGAGGAGTGGTTGATTATGAATTACAGTTTTCAGTCCTCTGCTACAACATGTTTTTCTTGGAAAGTGTGTTTGCTGTTTGTTTTGGTGAAACTTGGAGGTATAGAAATGATATGGTCTTAATGGTGGGGTTGACATTAAAATCTTACGAAATTGATTTTTGTTATTCATCAAGCTGAGAGAGATCGAGAGAGCTATTTGATAAACACTTGTGTCGTTAAATCGGTCGTATATTTGACTTCACAACCAAAACGATATTGCAGAATTAAAAATTGTGATCGATTTTTTTTAATGATTAAAATAGGACTTTATAAAGTGTGCGTCGCTCTTTTGCGCGAGGGCAGCCTCCTTCTTCTCCTTCTCCTCCCGGCTTCTTAGCCATTTGCAGCACCCGTTTCCCGGCCGCCAGCCGCCCGTTCTCCGCTCTGGCGAGTGCCAGTCGCCGAAAGGCCCTTCTCTTCTTTCGTTCATTAGTCCTCTGGTCAAGGTACGACTGTGCTCTCTTTTTTTTTTTTTTTTTTTTTGCGGAATTCTTTTTTTTAGTTGTTATTGTAGTTTAATGACAAAAAAATTAATGAAATTGTTGTTATTATTGTGTTATTATTGTCTTATTTTTTTATATTTATTATTATTATTATTATTGTAGTTAAAATAATGAAATGATTTCATTTTTTTTTGTTTGCAATTTCGTTTTTCTTTTTTTTTTTTTTTTTTTTGTTATTAACGAAATTGTTGTTTTGTTTTTTTGTTTCCTATTATTATTGCGTTATTATTCGTAATATGAAATAATGCCATTTTATTTGTTATTATTGTGTTGTTATTCTTTGTTTTTTTTTTTTTTGTTCTATGAATGAATGGATGGCATTTGAGTTGGAGTGCCTAGTAGTGGCCATTTTATTTTTGGAGAATATTGGTATGATATAGAAGTGTTGTATATTAGTATTTGATTATTATTAGCCGAAGTGCTGGCCGAATTAATTTTAAAAACTGAATATAAGAAATCGTACACTTACTGATATCAACTACAGTATATATATATATTAAAACCTTAGGATAGAAATAGTAACGTTAGTGAGTTTACATAGGATAAATAGTTACCCTTATTATAGAACATTAACCTTAGTAAGTATAGAAATGCAAATAGAAAATACTTTTTTGGCACGTTTTAGGATGCTTTAGGTACCAATGCAAACTATATAAAATTTGCCCTTTATAACAGAGTTTAGAGTTTGAAAAAAATGCGGGACTAATGAGATTGGATGTACTGGAGTATGAGGTCAATGGCGATATTAAGACAAGAATTCACAAGGATTGGGAATCTATTTTTATACAGTTTACAGTTTGGTAATCCCAGTTGTATAGATGGCTAATAAGTTGAGGTGTCCATTAATTACAAGAAGTGTCCAAAATAGAGCCCTTCTTAGATATTGATACATTAAAACTTCATTTATGCCCAAAAATGGGTTCATGGAAATTATTTATGTATGGATACATTATGTAAACTAGAGTTTTCACGTGGTCAGGCCACTCTATTTCTATAAGTCTAGAAGATAGCTTTATCAATTTGCAATGCATATTTGGTTGGATAAAGCTTCCACCTTCTGTTACACTACTTTGAACCACATGTTTACACCAAAAGCATCGGAAGGTGCCACGTAATGACGATGGAGGAGATCGAATAGAATCTGAGTTAGAAGGAAATCTAACCCATTTTCACCTATCCTGGGCATGCGATTGGTAAATAAATAAAAAAAAAAGACGATTGACTTAACGCAGAGATACGAAGCAGCTTAAACCTTATATTTTTTTGATTGTGAAGAGATTACACCATTGTTGATTACAGCTAAATATTAAATCTGTGTACAGATTCCAAACTTAATACATCTTAGTTAAAACATTATTATAGATAATTTTGTTCGTTCATTAAACAAGAAAATATTTCAAGCTTTTATGGCTACACAAAATCCCAATTTCTGATAAGTACTGTAGTTGATGCAAAAACTGGGACTTTGATTTGCAGAAGGTTCAAATGTTATGTAAGTAACTTTTCTAGTTACTTAACCACTTATGTGTACATTCTATACTTTCACTTACGTGTTATTACTATTTCCCATAGGCTTTAAGCTCGGGGAAGCGATATTGATAACAGATAATTCAATACTTGATCTAGTACGGGGACCTCTACCGGTTGGCTAATATTTTGCCACACCTGGCTACTTTGTAAAATGTTACAAGTTCACACTGAGGTTATGGGGCAAGCAGATAGATAATGAATTAATGGCTGTTTGCATAAAGGAATCAAACACAGCGACGAGTCAAGATGATTTCATGTTAAAGATTGAGGTTTTGGATAAGTTAGAATATCCATCGCCTACAATCAAAGTGCACAATCTTATTTCAAAGTGAATGGTTTGATCCTACTCAAATGTTGGGCATGAAGTTCATCCTAAGTATACATCTTATGGAATTAATCAAAGAAGAAGATAATGAAGTACGGACCTTTTGTGTTGGTGAGCAAGTATGCAGGCTGTACTATTGTCCCAATCCCATTGAAAACGAGATCATTGCGACTTGCCGATGGCAATATGTAAAAATCAAGCTTAGAGCCAGTTGTTTCATGTAGTTTGAAACCAAACAATCTCCTTTACTCACCAAATCCTATCCATTTTCAAGAAGTTTCGGTTGATAAACGCAACCGATGCAAGTTGTTGAAGCATTGTAAATGGATAGACTGGATGATGAAAGAGGACTTATGTTGAAATAGGGATCATTAGATGATTGAAAGGGAGAAGATCCAAAATCATCCATGGTACCTTAAAAGACGTGATAAAGAAGAGGAAGCAAGAAGAAGAAGAATGAGGAAGCAGATTGATGATGGAGATAGAACATACTTATGCATTATGTAATTGAGATAATAAGTTATTAATGTATTTATAATATATTATTAATGAAGAATTTTAATGTTATTCACACTCTTTATACATATTTACCACATGCTCTACAATTCATATAATTGTATACATACATATGTAGATTCAGTTATCTGTAGTATAGATGGCTAGAGGCAAGACGGTTGATTCAGACACGTTTGGCAGTGGTCCGCATGGAGGTCGTGGCCGAGGACGCAGTACACGTGGACAAGGAGGGACTATCCCTCCTTCTTCTTCAAGTATGTCTAGGGCTTCATCCTTTGCTCAGCCTCCCATGCCACCATCACTTCCTTCAGTTCCTTTCTCTTCTGCCCCAATTCCTAGACCAGTAGAGTCTTCACCAGCTTCACAGTCACCTACTGTACCAGGTAATCATAAATGTCATAAACTGTCATTTCAGTTATATATTAATTATTTTATTTAATCTGTATTGATAGCATTTGTCACTTCTTTTTGCAAGCTCATCAGAGCCACGTAACAAAACTCAGTTTGGTGCGGATTAGTAAGTACTTATTTACTTTTTCCTTTGTGGCTGGTTTGTTCAGATAGTAAGTACTTATTTACTTTTTCCTTTGTGCTTGGTTTGTTCAGATTTTGATGCTTTCGTCTACTTATATTTCACTTATGTTTTTTTTTTCTCAGCATATATCCATCCTCTCGAGCATCAAGGCAAAATATGAGGATAATCAAGCTACATCCGGATAAAGATGGATACACGTGGGATGCCATACCACAAGAGGCGAGAGACTTTTATTGGCAAGAGTTTCAGTTACGATTTGGTTTAAGTTATATCTTTATTCAATGTTTATAATTAATCAAGCTACCTCTCTTTATTAAAATTTTATTTTCCATTTTTACAGAAGCATTTTGTTTGGGAAGAGGCTATTACGGCTATGCTAAAAGTGGCATGAGAAAAATTGTGTGCTCTACGATATGCTGACTTCACCTATAGGATACGAAAAAGCGGTAAGAAGCAGCAGTGCGTGTCTCAAGAGATATGGGAGAGCTGGCAAAAGGCTTGGGAGGATTCTGCATTTATGAGAAAGCGTGAGATATTTGCACAAAACAGGCGAAGTGAGACTGGCGGTGATGGAGCAGGACCTTCTCGACAAACAGGCGGATCAATATTTGCTATAGAGACATCTCGATTATTAGTGAGTCAACTAGTCTAGTCATTAGTTACAAAACTGATGTTTTAATTGAAATGACATCATATTAATTTATTATTCATGCATAATAAATCCCATTACAGTGCTTAAAAATATGGTCGTGAGCCTTACACGATGGAGTGTGTTTACTTACACTCACACAAAAGGACCACGATTAGGAAATACGTTTGTCGAACAGACGGGGGAAAGCATAAATCCAACGGCCGGTTGGGTGTCAATAGATCACTGGGTAACAATGCACAGAATATCTAACCAGCCGTCTACCCCTCCGCCTAGTCGTCTCCACTTACGTACAGAGCTCAGATATAATAGCCTGTGCAACCTCGCATTGTGATTAAATTACACTTTATTATTCCTTACAAAAACACATACCAGTACACCGTGACGTCAGCGCCGCGGCTATCTCCTCAGGTTTGAACCTTGAAGCGGCTTAAGGTCCAAGAAATTTGATGACGTTAGCAATTTTATCTGGAGGGCCATTAGGGGGCGAAAAGATAAGACGGAAGTTAATATGCATCGGCGGTCTACAGGGCATACAGTTTGACTGAACTGCGTAACCATTCCAACATTTGTGCGCTTCATAAACTCTAGATTCCCACACTACTCAAAACATTTACATAACGGCACTCTGGGCAACCCGGCAGGTATGCACACCACGCTAGAGGCAATAAGGTTGTTACAGCTAAGTTCTCTATCTAGCAGGAGATCTATCTCGCCCAATACAGAAAGCTCGATGCCTGTTTGAATGAGCAGGAAGAACGAACAGAAACTGCATAGAGCTCTAGAGGCGACATATCAGTATGCTGCTCATATCCAAGTCACGCCCGGCAGTAGTACGTGGCCGTATCTCTCATGCCATCTAGCATTCTCTATCCACACTGCTTTACCAGGATCGAGATTGTTTCTAATTTGACCTTTTTGATAATGTAAACCATCAGCTTCTCACTACCGTCTCCTCTCGAATCCCGATTCTGCATGAGAAATCATAGTACCTATTGATGTTTCCAGTTTTTTTCTTTCACACTCCTGCTACGTCCTATGGATTTTATCACGTGACAGGGACTTAACTGATTTTTTCCTGCTATGACCTTATAACTCCTTCCAATTTAACTACAATACCGTGTATATAAAAGTATTTGAAAGCTTCTCTGCGACCCTTTATATTTAGCTTTGGTTCTCACTGTACTAATAAAAAGATTATAGGTTCCTATGAATGGTTTTGCTATAGATAACACTTTTACATTTATCTAGAAATACATTATTACTAGTAAATTATATTAGAACATATGTTTAATATTCAACTCTCTTAGTGATTTTGCTCCTGTCGTATGTGGGATACACCATTTTTTCTGAGAATTAGGATAAAATAAATTTGATTTTGGACCTTTTTAGCTTTTTATGATTTTTTAGATTTTGTATAGTACATTACATTAACAATTACATTTTTACATTGTTATTGTGTTGTGATTGTGATATATATATATATATAAATGCCAGTATTGACAGGTGGAAAAAATTATGGTTTTTAATGTTATTAAAATTTTTTTTTCTGTAATTAAATTTTGCGATGGATTTGCAACCGAACCGCAACCAAAATTATAATCGTTAAATTGATAATTGCGACAGATCACCGACCAATCGCTTTCAAAATTTGCAACCGATTTGCGACCTCTATTCATAATTGCGATTGACACAATCTACGACTAATTTGCAAAAGGATTTGCAGAAGGAATACATGACGAAAATTAGCGATCGATATTTATAGTTTTGCGACTGATTTTTCAGTCGCTAATTTACAACCGCTTAGTAATTCAGTCACAAAATTTTTTGCGACGAGCACTTAGTCGTTGATTGAATTTAGCGACCGATTTGTCGGTCACAAATTAGCGAATATTTTGTAGTGTCGTGAGGCTAACAACGTAGCTGATGCTCTTGCCAATTCTGTACTTCGTTCTAGTAGAGGGGTCCATGTGGTGTATCATCTATATGCATTGCTTCTTTGCTTGATAGAGGCTGATAGGTGTGGGGCCATATGACCTAAACAGGTTATTTGATTGTCTTTGTAGTTTCTGGGTTTTATTCCCTCCATTCTATTAAAAGAAAATCTTAAATGCAAAAAAAAAAAAAAAATCAATTAAAATGCATACAATTATATAATATATATTTAATAATGTAAAAAGAAAATAACTTAAGAAATTCCTTTACTTGAATTGCACTTAATGTGTAATAGAAATTAAATAATTAACTTGTGGCAATAAAAATCAATTAAAATGCAAAATATGACATTAGTATCATATAATATCAAAAAAGCATACAATAAATACTATAAAATATATTTATAAATGATAAAAAGAAAATAACTAAGAAATTCCTACTTGAAATCTCCTTAATGTGTAATAGGTTAAATTAAATAATTAACTTCGCTGGTCAATTAAAAGGTCAATGTCTAAAACTTGCGAAAAATATATAAGTGTAGTGAGAACATAATATTAGTAATGTCTCAAAAAAGAAAAAAAAAAAAAAGTGTGTAAATTTTCCTTCAGACTCAAATAGGTTCTACTATGTCAGACAAAACCCACAATCAAACATAAATACTATCTCACTCATACTCCTAAGATAATAGTCATGCAATCAGCTATCCATAACTTTTACAGAATTACTACCTAGTATATCTATATTTTACATAATTAATAATTATATATTTATTACTTTACTATAGGCATATAATAAATGCAATGCGAGAGCGACATTTAGAATTATGAATATTGATGGATCGTGACTTTAATTGGATATTCTAAGCCTGAGAGTTTTTACATATTCAGAGTAACGAAGATGGTATACTTTGTTGTTTCGCCATTATAATTAATAGTTTTTACATTTAATAAAAATTATTTTTTTTGAAATAATGGAGTTACAAACTAATAAATTTAATGGATGATTTCATCGTAATTACTAATTTTTATACTTAGTAAATACTGAATTTTTCATTAAATAGTCTTTTTCTATCAAAAAACTAATGGAATTAAAATAGACTCATAATTAATAAAATTGAATTAAACAATGTACTTACATTAACAAATAGAATTAAAATATTAATTTCATATTAATAAAATTTTATTTCATTAAAATTATAGTCTTACACCTCATCTAATTTGAATATATGAGAATTTTAAAGAGAAAAAAATAATTAATTAATCAGTTGAATTACAATAATTTACTTATAATGATTAATTGTGCTAATTGTGCTAATTCTTATTTTTCAATTCATTACTTGAGAATAAAAAAAAAAAAGCTTATTATATATATAATATCTCGGTAATTTATGCACAAGATATTCATTTAATTTTGTGGTTTTAGAATAATCTTCTAATATATGAGAATTTTAAAGAGAAAAAAATAATTAATTAATCAGTTGAATTACAATAATTTACTTATAATGATTAATTGTGCTAATTCTTATTTCAATTCATTACTTGAGAATTAAAAAAAAAAGCTTATAATATATATATATTCGGTATTTATGCACAAGATATTCATTTAATTTGTGGTTAGAATAATCTTTGGAACAATAATTTTCACATTTTTTAACCATATATCTAATAAGTATTTAATTGATCTAATTTTAGAAGTTTGAAAATTCAATAAAATACTTACTGCAATTTTATAATTTTATAATTTTAGCATTTTAAAATGTTCAACAAAATCAAAATAAAAAATTATAGTACTAAATTTTTTTCCATTTCGAACTTTTTGGCAAAAGCTATATATGTTGCTAACAAATATTTCCCTAAACTTGAGATTTATTTGCACACTATCTCCCCAGTAAAGATAGTGTGCCCTTCTGATGGCAAAACGCTATAAGCAGTATAATCTATGATCAGAAGGCTTTTTTACAAATATCGAATTCAAAGCTAACCTTTTTATTTAAGCTTTAACAAAGGCCCTATATATTTAGTCTATATAAAATTTAGGTAAACCTCCTCCGCTTAATCTAGTTTTTAGAGTGAGTTAGACTTAGGTCCATTTTATTCATAATAATAACTTTGTTTCCATCTAATTCGATAGACCCAGGTCTAGAGGTGTTTGTTGATAAAAAAAATATGTTTTTTCTTATCAAGTTTTTAATAATCAAGAACCCATAAGTTACGCTTGTTGATTAAGGGATTGTTTTTCTCTTTTTTTTTTTAAAAAAAAATTATTTGGCATTTATTTATTTGTTATTTCCACTGCATGAGTTTTTAATTTTAGGATCTTTGAATATTTTGTAGTGCTTCTAATTTTTAAGTGAATTTATTAATTGTTATGATTCTTGTATTAATTATGAATATAGAAAGCGAATAATTATTTTGACCTAAAGATGTATTTTCCCAATCAAACTTAGTGTATGATTCCTCTTCCAATAATTTTAGCTACTATGTTCTCTAATGTTTTTTCAATAAAATTCTAATTTTTATTTTATTAATTCATGATTTCTAAGACGTAGTACTTCCAATAATAGTCCGTTCAAAATGATAAATGAACTCCTAAAGAAACTAATCTTTTTACTTAGTGCAGACATTTAAATGTCATTATTGACATCCAAAATTTCTAAAATAAATTTGATCATTCATATTCGATACACGATATCATAATTTATGGATAATATAATCACTATTAATGTATTTAACAAGGGTTTACAAATTAGTATCCTTAATCGGGGCAATGCCACGAAATATAAGCCTGCAACTGGACCTATGCCTCCGAATGAACCAACCCCTTTAAGTATGCCTACACCCCAGCTTGAACCCACCCAAAGTATGCCTGCAGTTGGAACTGCCGCTCAGCATGAGCCGAGCTCCAGCAATGGTGGAAACCTAGAAACTCAGCTGATGGACTCTGAATGCGTATTCCGCAAGTGCACGGGCCATACAAGTAATATAGTGAAAAAAAGATTGTCGAATCTACAGGAATTAAGGAATAGATTACTAATTTTTATGCTTAATAATTATCAGGAAGACCGTAAA